TGGCTTTATTGGGTTGAGAAATATTCCTTTTACATCTAATCTGTTGAGAGGAGATCAAGTCTTCATTACATTATTGTACTTTTCTATGGTTTTTCTAGTCACTGTTTCATTTATTATTTTTATCCTTTTGTTTACTGTCCTTGATTTTATTCTTTAGTTGTAGTTCCCTGAGATATAAAGTTAAATTGTTTGAGGTTTTTCTTCTTTTATATATAGGCACTTATTGCTAGAAACAAACTTTTTAGATTAACTTTATCAAATCCTATAAATTTTGATATGTTGTGTTTCATTTTTGGCTGAAGATATTTTTGAATTCCCTTCTTAATTTCTTCATTTGGTGGTTTATAGTCTGTATTAGTTACTTTTCTCATTGCCAAGCAAAAATACCTAACACCCAAAGTTAAAGGAAGAAAAGTTTATTTGGCTCACAGTTTGTAGAGCTTTCAGTTCATAGCTGGCAGGTTCCAAGGCATGCTGACATGGCAGAGCAGCATTGCAGAGGAGAAACAGATCATGGCAGGCCAAAGAAAGAAATCAGCAATGCAGCAGGCTACAAGTAACCAGAGACAATTCCAGCTTGCTTTATGTCCTTTATAATTTTATCTAGGCTACCCTTTGGCCACATAACACTGTCACCCAAGGTGTGTCATCCTTAATCCTATGCAGAACTATTTAGTAATCACATACCCTTAATCCCAGTAACACACACTGTAGATCCAGGTACCTCTGTAAAAGCCCCACCTATGACTGCATGTCGCTTTGGGATGGGGACAGCTAGACTCAAGCCATAACAGAACCTTTCTGCTTAATTTCTATGATTGCAAGTGTTTCAAAAATTCCTCTTCTTATTGATTTCTGCTTTATAACATTGTGATTAGAAAGTGTACTGCATTAAATTTTAATGAAATTGATTTCTAGTTTTATATCATTTTTGTCACAAAATATAATTTTAATCTATATTTGCTAAGACTTGTTTTATATTCCAAAATATTACATATCCTACAGAATGTTCCATGTGCACTTGATAAGAAAGTGCTTTCTGCTTCTGTTGAGTGGAATATTTTGTATATGTATGTCTAGATTCATTTGGTCTAAGTGTAATTTAAGTTCAATATGTTTTACTGGTTTTCTGTTTGGATAATATGTCCTTTTTCAAAGTGAAGTTTTAAAGTCCTAAACCATTGCATATTGCTATTCCCTCACCCCAATTTCTTTTATGATGTGTGTGTATACATTTACTTTTTCTATCCTCTTGATCAGTTCATCCCTTTAACATCATATATTATCTTCATTGTTTTTTAAAAATATTTGTACTTAACATTGGTATTATCAGATTTATGCCTTTCTACCCATCCATTTTCATGAACTATGTCTTTTTTCATTCTTTTATTGTGGCTTATTTGTTTATTTAACAATGCTTTTGTTGTTGCTGGGAACCAGTACCAAGACTGCACTGCATGTAAGGCTAGCACTCTACCACTGAGGTATATTCTACCCTGCACTTCTTCATTTTGAGCCTGTGTGTGTTTTGAGAGGTGTAATTAATCTTACAGGCACCATATCATTTGGTATTTTCTTTAAAAAAAATCTATTCAACCATTTAATATCTTCTTATTAAAGAACTTAGTCCATTTATATCTGAAGTAGTTGTTATTAGGACTGACCACTGCCATTTTTTCCATTATTCTCTGGGTGTTTTGTAGGTCTTTTGTTCCTTGCTTTGTCTCTTGACGTATTCATGTGTAATTCACTATTTTCTGTAGTTGCATATGTTAATTTCTTACTTTTTATCTTTTTTGAATATACTATGTTTTTGCTTTGTGATTGCCAGGCACTTACTTGAAAAAAGTCTTTTAGTTATCACAGTCTACTTTAAATTGTTCACATATTAACTTTCATTGCAAACAAAAAATCTAAACTTTTCTTTCACCATCCCTTACATTTTATGATATAGACGGTATAAATCTCTTGTATTTGAATATTTACATCTTCCTCTAGATTTCTAATTTCTCTTGCTAATCTTTCTTTAAATAATGTTTCTACACCTTTTTTCCTTCTCTTGCATCTTATGTTCTGTTTATATTATGTCTTTTGACACTGACCTTTGAATCTTGTAGGCATTCTTTATTCTTTTCCATCCTTTCCTTTACTGTCACTGTACATTCTCAAGTAAAGAGTCTTGAAGTTGGCAGATTCTTTCTTTCTCTTGCTTATTTCTGCTGTATATTGCTTTGTTCTGTTTTTCATTTCCTTCATTGTATTTTTTAGCTCCAGATTTTTAAAGTGATTACTTTTTCATGGTTAAACTTGTCATTTTATTCATTTGTTGTTTTTGTGACTTTGATGAACTTCTTTTTTGTGCATTTTCTTGATGTCAAGTATTTTTAAATTCTTGATTTGACACTGTGATCTTTTGGTGATGATGTGTTTCTTTATTTATTTTTGATGTTATGTCTTACCTTATGTTGAATCCTGTGCAGTTTTTGGAGCAGTCTTCTCTTTTTGATTGTGTGCTGGTTTCCTTGTTAGAAAGTGAGAGGATGCTGGCTGGATCAGGTGGAGAAATCTTGGCTCTGGTAAGGGCATAGCTAAGCTGTCCCTGTGTAGCTTTGTCAGCTGAGGTTGGTGTAGGTGAGTTCTGCGGGTATCCTCAGCTTCCAGCTCTGTATGTATTTTCAGCAGCAGTGAGAGTTATTGGGGGTCCTTTCTGGCAACAGTAACTAGATTTTTTCAACTGTGTTTTTGCTTTCTCAATAGGGAAATCATGGGTTAGAGGATTCCTGACTTGTGGGCCCACTGCCAGAGGCATGGTATCTGATGAATGATGCCTATTCAGTGGCCATGAAGCCATGTCTGAAGCTGCCCTGGCTGTGTGTGTCTGGGGTCCAGAGCATTCCAGGTGCTGGTAACCTCATTTACTAGTGGTAATTGTATATATGGTTTTGCTGCTTGTGAAGATCCTAACAAGTCAGGGATGAAACTATGTTGTGTTCACAGTTATTGAGGCTCTATGTAAGGGTTGGGTCCTTGTTCTTTATGGCCACTGAGTCATGGCTGAGAAGCAGGCCCAAATTTTCAGGGAGATATCTTGGCTCCCAGACCTGGCAATCTTGGCAGTGGCTCCAAACATCTGGGGCAAGCACAGGCCTTGTGTAGCCACAGAGCCTGCTTCTAGAATGTGCACACTCACTAGCTTGTGTGACTCAAGTCAGGCAGACACCGAGATGTGGAAGAGGTAGTAGCATCTTTGTCCTGGGGTGGCATAGCAGGGGTTACTCTCCAGTAAGGAGTTGTCCTGGACAACCACATAACCAAATACATCCCCTCTGGGCTTCCCAGACAGGAGTTACTGCTGGTTACTTTAGTGACAGAAGATGTTGTTGTCCTCAGGGCAGCAGGCCATTTGATTTGTGCTGCTTAAATTGCATGATTGACTGCAAGAACCTCTCATTTTCTTCTTTTTTCCAAGCATGTGTGGGCATCTCAGGTATGCTGATATCATTTGCTACCCTTTCTCTATTGCTGCTGATTCTTAAATGTGCCTTTGACCTCTTACAAGGTGATTTTGACTTGTTAAAAGCTTTCTGTCATTCCATTTTTCCATAATTATTTTTTCAGAAAGATGAAGCCTGGTTTCACCACTTTGGTTGTGTCCTTTATTCTCAGTGATATTGCTTCACATTTTCTTTTGCCATATTGCCTGTAAAACTGATAGCTGGATCTAGAGTTAGTAGGGGTAATATTATTTTAGCCAGGGATACCCACTGATGGTAGTTAGTAAATACTTTTATCAATCTGTTTCTCTTTTATGTTTGATGTCATTGATATTCAAATATTGAGACGTACTGGTTTCTTAATGACAAAAATGGTGATATCCTATTTCTTTCAAGCTTTCTTCAATTTTTAGCTGAAATATTCCCATACATAGAACCTTCCCTTTAAATTCAAAGTGGTACAGTTTGAGTAGGCATGTTGGAATAAAATACTTGGTCCTTCCTCTTTATGATTTTTAAAAATATGGATAGTTGTGACTTAGAATGGTTTGACTAATGATTTTTCAGTATTATGATGGAGTTTAATGATGGTATGAAAGTGATATGCATTCAATAAACTTTTGATCTTTTCTGGGACTAGCGATTAGTCAGATGACACTCTGGTCATGCTGGGCTGCACTAAGGTGCAGCTTCTATTCAGCCCCACAGTCACGAAGGTAAGCAGTCCATATGCAGTGGGGTGTTGGTTGCCAGTATTCAGCAAATTATTTGAGATAATTCCTTGTTATAAAGTAGGCTTTGTGTTAGCTGATTTTTCCCAGTTGTATCAATTATAACGTTAATGTTCTGAAGCACAGTTAAGGTAGGCAAAGCTAAATCATGATGTTTGATTGGCAGGTGTATTAAATCCTTCTCCAAATTATGATATTTTCAACTCATGAGGGATTTATTGTGACATAACCCCATTGTAATTCAAGGAACATATGTACTTAAAATAAATAGAATTGATCCTTGAGCATCCTCTGATAGTGGCATTTATTTTTCTTTTTAGTATCTCCATAAACACATGCCTTTAAATATATTTGATGTTTCAGTAATAGCTTTACATTGTTATCTCCTTTGATAGGCAAGTAATTGTATTTGTGGCCAATGGTAGTCTCCTGATGTGGACACTCTAGCCTTTTTCAGGGAACCCTGCTGGTTGCTGATGGCTTCTGTATCCTCTACTGTGGTGATGCACCTAGGTTCATCTTGTGTATGTTCTACCTCAGAGTTGGACTCAGTCCAAGGAAATGAAATCATCCTGGAAGGTTATTGTGTGGCAGAAATTCCAACTATTAGGAGCTATTGTGGAAATCTAAGCTAATATACTGTAGTATAGCTTATATATGGCGTTTGAATTTGGCTAATGACATAAAATCTTATTAATCAAGGTTTGTATTTTAAATGTTAAGTGTTAATTTACCTCATGGTTATGGAAGGGGTGATTTTTTCCTGTTCCTGTAGGCTTTTCCAGCCAGCCAGATGATGATCAGGTGAACGTGATGGGTTTCTGCTTCTTGGGAGGCTCCCGAGTTACTCTTCTGGCTTCCAAAACCTCTCGTAAGTGAAACTATGTTGGATGATTTTGAAATTGTCTACTGAGGATGCCACACCACAGAGCATTCTCACATTAGTGGTTTTTGCAAGGGTGAGGGCACTTTTTACTTGGACACCAAAAACTAAGAGCCACTGTAGTAATTCTATTGGGTGTAAAAATTATGAATTATGATTATTTCTTTTTAGAGGTATGAGGGTGCAGTTTGGGGCTGAGGGGGGTTTGAGAGAGCAGTGTAAAGGAATTGAAAAATGTTTTTAACATAGATTATGTTAAAGAAGGATTTTAGGAACTCCTAGAAATAAATTTTTGGGAATATTATTCTTATATCTCTCATTGGACTTCGGCAAAGATGAAGGTGAAAGTAAATGCCTTGTGCTGAGATTAAAGTAGCAGGAAAAACAGTAATTTTGTAGTCAAGTTTGAATTTCGGTTTTAAATAAGCTTTATTAACAAGTACTTTTTGTGAGAATATTTCAAACAAATCAAAACTGACTTCTGATATATATAATATACTAAAGGTACTAGACTATTGTATATACCTTTCACGAAAACAGACTAAGACTACTAAGAAATATTTAACAAATTTGTATGGGGCCAAATCTATGTTTAGTTTTTACAGAGGGTTTTTCTTTTCTGCTTTAATCATTTGCAGTTGTAGTTGGTTTTTTTTATACTAAATAGAATAAAATAAGGACATCTGTTTCTGAAAAAAGAAACTTATTACAAGAAGATCGTACTGGCTATTACAAAAACCTGTGTTTCTCTTGCTAAGATAGTAACAACTTGGAATGTATATATTGGTGACTGATGAAATAAACTTGGATATTACTGAATGTTCTACACAAGGTGCAGACAACAAAGACAGCTCTGAGAAGCATGAGAAGATTCTGTATTTTTCATGGTCATTATGATTAGTCACAATTGTAGCCTTCTTACATTGGCACCATTTAAAAATTATCTTATTATGGTAAGAACACTTGCTGAACCTGGTTACACAATTCTGTAATCCTAGCTACTTGGGAAACTGAAGCAGGATTGCAAATTCATGACCAACTTAGTGAAAGTCTGTTTCAAAAAGGGCTGGAGATGCAGTTCAGTGACAGAACAATTGCCTAGCATGTGCAGTGCCTTGGGTTCCACCTTCAATTCTGATAGAAAAAAAAAGCAAGAGAGAAGACCCCATTACTAGAAGGTGTACCCTCTTAACAAAGTTTTAAGAATATCATACAGTAATGTTAACTACAGGTACTTGGCACCATTTTGCTTTGGTTAGCTTTAATCTTTATTGGGGACCCCTGCAGTGGGCCCCAGTTTCCTGCAAGGTGTTATAGCACATGGCAAAAAGAAAGAGCAAGAGACAAAATGGCAATGCAACGAAGACCTGGGATGACCAGTTGTTCATGGGGAACAAAAGGCCATGAGGTAGCCAGAACCTTGGTATTTATTGATTACATCTGTCAAGGATAATAGGTGAAAGGCAGTGAGTGTTTCTGGGAATAGTAATGGCAAGCTATCAAGAAGACCAAAGCATTCTTACAAGGATGAGACAAGGGGCAGTAAAGAGATCGTAGTTTCCTCAGGGGAAACTATTAACTATTGCTACTACTTTGCTTGAAGATCCTAATTGTCCTCATCAGGTCTTATCTTACTGTGAGCACCACAGTATCACTAGCTGTAGGATTTCAGCTGTGACCAGAAGAAAGTGGTGAGTTTCTGCATTCCAATCTGGTTCAGAACTTTTGGGCTTGGACATCCTCTAGACTCAATTCATAATCCATGGTCCCCAACCAATCTTCAGTTGAATGATGGGATCATTTAGGTACATTTCTCCTAATTATTCTTTAATTAAACTAAAAAAAGTTGTTGCCAGTATTTTATTGGGAATAATACAGACCTACCTGACTTCATCTGATAGTGCTATAGGATGAATCTGCAACCAAGACCATTTAAAAATAAAAATATTTGTGCAGTTAAGGATATTTATACACTAATATATTATGGTTTTTCTTTTTTTTTTAAGATAAAGTAGCTCTCTAGAGCAGTAATATTGCCCATGATTACCTTACTATTGTCCAAATTTCATCTAATATCCAGAGTTCTTTACCTCCTCTGAGCACATGGCAAAGCCTTGACATAGCCAACTTTGTCGGTAGATAACTAAATATTGATAGGCATTTCCAGTGCAGAAAGAAATATGTGAAAGATTTATGTGATCTGAAGAGAATCCAGAGTATTGCAGAAAGAAATAAAACAAAGTAAGAATGCCTTTATTATGGGCACAGAGAGGACCACAGTAGAAAGGAGGGACATGGAGCTTCTTGGCCTGGCCTGGGGACAAAGGCTAAAAAGGGCTAGGCTGGAGGTGGGGTTTAGGGGGTGGACCACCTGATGTGGCAGACTGGGATTGGGCAGAAACATGGGGAAAAGAAACAGGATATTACAAAAAGCTAAGTAGGAAGTTGTAATTTGCCTCTGAGGAAGAGGGGTGGGGCCTAGCACATGTCCTCCAGTGGCCAGTGCCATATTGGCTCAGCACCATATTGGCTTAGCACCATAGTGACTCAAAAGGAATCTTAGGTAAGAAATCCATCAAATATCTACCCACAAGATATGGGGTGGCCAGGACCTTTTAAACAAGGAGCCAGGTGAAGTATTAAAAACTGACACCTGAAGAGCAGCTGCTAACAGCCTTCTTGTTCCTTTTGACCTCAGTGACTCAAATTCTGGCCTGGGAGATGCCTTTGATAATGAGGACATAAGTGTGAACAGAGTGAAGCTTTCTAGGGTTGAGGCTGATGTTGGTTCTCCTTTCTGCTCCATCATAGAGCATTCATCTCCAGGAAGGGATGAAGTAATTTGTACCAGATCAGTATTTGGTATTTTTCTTTTTCATGAAAAGCACATAGTGTTAATTCTATGAAATGAGAATTAACAGAAATATCCTATATATAGAACAAAATCCAGTATTTCTTCCACAGTTAGCAGTCAAATGAGCAATAAGTCATGTAGAGTTGTCTTTGGTTCTTGGGTGCCATGTTCTGTGGTTTCCACATATTCATTTCCTTTTAAAACTGACTTGATAATGAAAGAAAGCTTCACGCATGCTATGTGGGAATTTTAGTTCAGTTTCCTGATTTTTTATAAACCAAGCAAAGCAGACAAGTGAGAAGAGAGAAAATAAAGGCAGAAAATTAACCAAGGTAAGAATTAAATTAGACTCAGAAATAATACTGTATAGTTGATAGGACAGTAGCAGTGTAAAAATAAGAAAGTACTTTAGTTCCAATTTTCACAATGTTCAAAATATAAAATGAAATAATTTGTTTGGGAGTTGTATAGCCTGTATTGTTGCTGAGTCCAAAATGAAATTTCTCTCATGGATATTTATGAAGAAAATTATTTTGGTAATGTCTACATAATCTGTCTTATAATTACATTGATTATGTAATCATAATTTAGGAATGCCAAATTTCATAGAGCTTTAGAATATAATGGTAAAACTCAGTCACCTAAATACAATTCTGAGCCTAAATTAATTCATTCTAAATTACAGCTTTATGCAAGGATAAATTTAGAGTATCCGGTCTTGCAGGATTTTAGTGTATAGCAGTGATGGTGACTCTTTTAGAGATGAAGTACCAAACTTTAATTCAAAACCAATTTATTAATCGCAAAGCATCAGCACTGCAATTAAACTTTAATACTGTGTTTTTAGTTTAGAAAAAACAACTTTACATTAACATCTTTTATCCTAAAAGAAAAACACAATAACATGTGTGCCATAGGTTTGATACCACTGGGAAACCGTATTTTCAATAAAGACTGGGCAATTAAACCCAATAATTTTGGCTTGAGTAAGATGAAGGAGTTGTGGCTTTATCTAAAAATGAGCAATATTAGAACACGTTTGAATAGTCATTGAAATGTTTGGGTTCAGCAGGAGAAGTGATGATCAATAAGAAGGGGACCACAAAGCAGTGAAATTCTTGAGAAGAAGAGCCGGGATGAGATGCATGTCTCTCCCATCCTGTTCTGGTGCTGACAATTGAAGCCAGGGCTATGTGCATGCTAAACAGTTATTGTACCACTGAGCTAAACCCCAGCCCAAGGAATATACTTTCACAACTCCTCTGCAAAAGGAGGGATTGGGTAATGTCCAGGGAGACTTCATGTATTTGTTGATTGAAAGACAAGAGAGCTTCGATAATGTTTAAATTTGAAAAATAGGCATGACATTGGTTTCCTGGAGGAAAAAATAGCAACTCAGGAGGAAAACAGGCAGTGTTAAATTTCCATTTAACAGTTAGGTCTTGCATTTTGAAGTGAAACCAGTCATCCATGTTAGGTAATTTTCCTGGCAAGTGATTGATTTGTTGGGATCCAAGTAGCTAAACAGATCTTAGATTTTAAAACACAGAAGTACCCAATAACATATTTTTATAAGTGTGATTATAGTGATAAACCATCAAGTGTGAGCTGCAAAAGGGAGATATAAAGATTGGAGACAATTGATATATGCTGAGAAGTAAATGGATTTTATGGATCAAACATCTCTAAGATTGGAGAAGTCAAAGTAGTAGTAATTTCAAAGCTAGTGAACTAGACAAACAAAAGGTGGTAGTCAGAGAATGCGTTAGTTACTGTTGTCAAAAGCTGTTACAATGATGAGCTCATCAGACAAGATGAGACTATGGGGAGTAGGCTGCTAGGACAGAAATTAGGAAAGGAGATGGCACAGTTGTGGATACTGAAAAGGCTTATTTGATGTCTAGCCCAAATGAGTAAGAAAAACAAACACATTCAGACTCATTATTGTGAAACCTTAGAACACTAAGTACCAGTAACCTATTGCTAAAGACTAGAAGGGAAAACTCAAGCCACTCAAGAGCAATACATCAAGATGGCATTTAACTTTCATCAGAATCATTGGCTGTTGTAGGAAAATGCAGACATCTTGTCTAAGATCTTATAGCAGTCATTTTCAGCTTAGAATTCTAGACTCGGTCACATTGGTAGTTAACAAAGAATTTTGAATAGACAAACTCTCAGCCTGAAATGTAGGGTTCAGCAATTGCAGAGAGGAAATTTGTGAAGCCTCAGGTAGGCATTTGAAAAGTGGAAAAGACACCAAATATGTGGGACTTCTCAATATTCTGTAAAGCTAGATATACAAGTATTAGATATACTGGCTAGATCTCCAAATACTATGCTATACTATATGTATCTTGCTATGTAGTGCAGGCTGGCCTTGAACTCATGGCAGTCCTCCTTCCTCAGCCTCCTCAGTGCTATGATTACAGTTGTGTGTGACCATGCCTGGTTACCCTAAAGATCTTTGTATCTAGGGACTTGTGAAATATGCAAGGAACTCATAGAGGGATTTAAAACATTTGGAGGTGTCCCTTAGGAACTATAAATCATGTACCACTATGACACAATAATTAACAATACTAAGAAATTTTACTACCAGAAATAACTTGTAAGATATTTTTCTGCTTTGTATGTTTGAAGCCCTGTACACTTGGGAGGCATAATTAGATTTAATACATTGTGAGATTAGCAATAATTAGCATCTCAGCTATATAGAAATCTTTGTGTATATTTTCTTAGTTTTTCCAATTAAGGCAAAATTTAGATTTTTTTAGAGAGGTTTACAGGATGTAAGTGCACTGACCAGAATTACAGACCATCTTTAGGGGTCTTATATGTTTAGGAAGCAGTACCATGGAGCACAAATAGACATACTACCCAATACTCAAGTGTGTCTCATTTATATAATAAAAAACGGTTTAATCAAAGCCAGTAGACATAGATCAAGTTTTAAATGGTAGGACCAACTCAAAGACAGATGCCAAATTTTGAGCATTTTATGTCGAATGTCTATATTTTTATTGTATAAAAGAGAGCATACCCATTACATACTTTGTTTGTATTAAAATTATGTAGTTTTATTTCTGTAAGCTTAACTTTAAATCTTAGACTTGTAGTGTACTTGATATAGATATATAGGTTATGTTATAAACTAAGATAATAGCTGTTTGTTTAACCAATCATAAGGTGATTATTAAAAACATTTTATAAGCCATATTTAACTTATCTTTCAGAACTCAGTTTAAGTAATCAAAAGCTTAACAGTAGAAAACAAAAGGAATTATGTCAGTATAACAGAGAGCCTTTGTTTTTTAATCTAGTTTTTTAAAGTTTAATCAAGGGCATCTCAGTATCATAAGAGAACTGTATTATTTTAGACCAATATATTTAATAATATATTTAATAACATTTATTGCAGTTTGTTACTGTAAGGCTGAAAAAATGGAGAAGTCCCATTAGTGGATAAAAGCTGGGCACATTGGTTTAGGCAGCTGCCCTTTATCCAGAGGGGAGGCTTGTTCAGTAGTTTTTCCAACCCCAAGATGTCCCTGCTTATTTATCTTAACAATTATTTTAGTTGAATTATGAGAAATAAATTTTATTTAACACCTTTTTAAAGTTATATGTATAGGGGCTGGGGATT